TTGGTCCCAGGGGGGGGGAGGGGGCCCGGGGGCCCACAGGGTGGGTTTATTGGGTTTTGTGAAACAAGCCCTCACGGGGCCAATGGAGAAAACACAACACCCCTCCCAAGTTTGTGGGGGGCTAGGGGGGGAACCTCCTAATAGCTTTTTTTTGTTTTTTTGGAGAGAAAATGTTGACAACGCCCCCCCCCCCTTCTGAATACTACACCCGGGGTCTCCATCGGTCCACAAGCCAACACTAAACTCCACCGACACCAGGTACCTGTCCCAGGACGCAAACACGCTTCGCCTCTGATGCTTTGGGGATGTATTAGAGTGACCCCCCCCCCCCAGCCCAGCAGTACTGTGTAGCAGTTGGAGATGTTTTATCTGTGGAACATCTCAGTCACTGCGTTTTCTCTGCAGCCCCCCAGCGTGGCCCAGATTGAGCGGCACAGAAGTGAACCGCCGATCCGCCGAATCAGCAAATTCAGCATCCAGACGTCAGCAGGTGAAGAGCAGTGAAATCTCCCAAAACAACAACCATCCGTCCAGCCTTTCAACCTCAACTACTGTCGCTCCCCCCGGGCGGCTCCTTCGCCTCTTTGGGCCGCCCTGCGTTCCTCTCGGGCCGGTGCTTAGCGGGGCCGAGCCGCTCCGTCTCGCCCTGCCGGCGGTGGAAGCCCCGTTAAACCCCCCCGGCTGCCGCGGAGCGCTTTTCCTCTGGACACATTTTGTCGCCCGCTCACTGTCCCTTGCACTTATTTATTTTATATTAGGATATATTATTCTAATGTCTAACTATTCTGGCAAATAAAACTAGCTTGAAATAGCGTACCTTTATTACTATGCTATTACATTGTCATTATCACTTCAGTAGCATAAATGGTTTGAAAAATGCAATTATATCGCAATAAATAATCGCACAACAACAATGTGATATGGTGACAGCCCCACAGTGACAGTGTGTGTGTGTGTGTGTGACCTTAGGCTTGAGCTTGACGGTGAGAACGTGCTGCCGTCCTGAAGAGTCCTCCGCCTTCAGTCTCAGCGTCCGGAACTCGGTGTCGATGAAGAGCAGCCTGCGGACACGATAGATCAACACGCAGCACCGACTGACCCAAGACGGATACATCGGAACGGCGTTACCACGGCCTGCTCGAATCCCTTAAACACAAAAGCAATCGCAACGCGGTGGAGGACCCCCCCGAATAAAAGCGTGAGCGTTGTGTGTCCACTCAGTTAATGGCACCGTATTAAACACAAGCCCTTTGAAATGGGACTGTGAGGAAGGGACTCTTGGGGGCCTCGTGGCTGCTGGACCCCCCCCCCCCTAAACCTCTTTTCATAAATAAACATTAATTTATCGATCATCTATTTATCACTAATCCATGTTGAGTAGCAGGTGTCCCGGTCATCATTGAGGTCCGTGTTTGTAGTGGATTTATTTTGGTGACCCTGAACGAGGCGGTGCTGATGGGTGGACTCACTGATGGAGCTTGTTGAAGGTGAACTCGTGGACGGGCTTGTGTTGTTCTGTCGAGGCGTAAAAAGATTTCCTTTGTTGACATGAGTTTTTTGGTTTGCTGGGATGCTGCAGGACGGACTGGCTCTCTGGGTCAATAAAGCCCGCGCTGGGAAACTGAGCCCCCCCGTGGTCTACAGTCACCATCACATTGACCGGTCACATGAAGAGTTCACTTTCGGGTGAGTTCCCATTTTGAAGCTGGCGTCAGCTAATGAGAACCTGTGAGGCCGGGGGCAGAAACTCTCAGCTGATCCGAACGCGCTGACGTCCGATTTACTGCTCAGTCAAACCGCCCCACAGCTCCTCCAGTCCACACACGCGTCTACCGAGTGATGCAAGCAGGGCCGACACACTAAGGACGGCACGTGTTTCTGCGCTCTGCCTCTCGTTCTATATGACGCACTGGTTTCACTTCCT